AGAAATATTTTGTTCATATTATTGATGTCAATAAATAAACCCTTGTATAAAATTTTATACTTCTAGATGTTACAGTAATGCATTTTCGTCGATTTTCGTACAGCAAACTTTCATTCCCTATTCTACTCTCTAAGGGTTTGAATTTCAAAAATTCGCTTTGTACAAATAATTAACTCATGTGTTTTAAATTTAAATGATCCTTTGTTCAAATTTTTATGTGTATACGTGTATAATCCAGAGGTCACGAAGGTTTATATACATTTTTACTAACTTTACCCATTTGGTTGATGAATTTCAAAAATCTCTTCTAATTCTTTCTATAGAATTTCATTCTTCTAAACCAGATAGTAAGGAATTTTCATACAACAAATTGTTCGACATAATTTTACACTCTGAGGATGAATTTCCTAAAATCGCTTTACGTAGCTAATTCACTAATCACTAATGTCATTTAAACCAACCTTTGTGCTAATATTTATGTATCTAAAGCTGGCGCATGGCGGTATGAACTGACCCCTAAAATATCTAAAAACTTAATATATACTCTAACTGACACACCACTGACAATGACAAATAATTTATTTCTCGAGGTATTGTGTGTAGGTGTTTTTCAGGTATGTTTTAATATTTATTCGTTTTACATAAAGAAATACCGATTAAACGATAAATATTCATAACAAATCTAGACATATATACCTTTCATTTAAAAAAAGAATCATCAAGATTGGTGAAGCAGTTTCCGCGGGATGGGTGTAACAAAAAAATCCTTTGAGCTTTTAAGGCTTAATACGTATATGGATATGGATGGATGGGTAATCCGATTTAGTTAAAACCAGAACCCGGCCTTTTATTTTCAACTTTCAGGACACTACACCCTCTTCATCGGACCCTTACGTTGATGGCAGGGAAATTATTAGGATGTCTGTCATTTCTGAAGAGAGGAATCCCAGAAAGCTTTATTGCAACAATTTTATCGTCAATATCTGAAGACGCACAAAGACAATAAGATAGCTGCTATCGCAGGTGGTGGAATTGCTGTAAAACTAACAATTTCGACGTCTATCATTTAAATTGCCTAATTTTATTTCGTTTATTCAAGAACAGCTATTAGATAACGAATTTTCTTACTCCTTCCATTACTATTCCTAGATCTGGGTTAAACTTAATAAACCCATCAACTTCCAGCGATGGAAAACTAATTAGTAGATTTTTAAAAGACTACAAACAAAAACACAACCAACGGTCCCCTAAACCTAAATATAATAGCACTGGAGACCCACAAATTGTACAGGGTGGCGCTGCGGAAGCTCCAAGGAGAACGGTAGTTTATTTCAAAATGAAATTTTGGCAGCATATGTAAGTTAACTGAAAGCATTTTATAAAAATAAATAGAATTATACAGGGTGTCCCCAAAAAAAGTTACACATCAAAGTTGTGTTTTTTCTAATGGAACACCCTATATATTAATTGATTTTCGGATTCTAGGAAAAAAATAAAGGTGAATTTTATTAAAGAAGCATATACCTAAAATCGAAGAATTTTGACATATTTCACATTTTGTGAAAATGAAGAGTAGTAAATTTTAAATTTGGACAACAGCTACCTAAATTTTAGTTGGCCTGGTTTTTAATTATAGTAATCATTATATGTTAAACCGAAATGAAATTTGACACGAAAAGTTAAACAGGGTGAGACAAAATTAATATGGAACATTAGACACTTTTAAAAGCAAGTTACACCTTTATTTTAAATGGAACACCCAGTATTAGTATATAGCATCCGGTGTTCAATGGGGAATTTATATATCTTCAAAATATTATTAAGGTTGCCTACCCCTCATACAAATATTTTCTCAGATATTTTAATTTTTATGATTTTGCGTCAGTAGATCTTTATTATTTGAAAAAAACTAGGATGGCTGTGTGATATGCCTTTTGTTAATTTAACAAAAACTAAAGATTGTAGAGTAAAATAGTCAACGGTAATAAAAAGATACACTTTTAAAATATACTTTAATTATTACAGAATTAAAACTAGATATAAACCATAGATAAAAGAAAATAATCTACTATTAAGATAGATATGAAACTTAATAGTAAAATTTTGGGTCAAAGCGCCCCTCCGTGTTTTTAGTGGAGACTACGTTTAACCCAGCGCCTTCGCCTTTTCTGCTGTAAATATTTTTTATGTTTATATTTGAATTCAAAGGATTTATTTTTAAAGTTACACTGATATATTAGTATATCAGAGTAACTTTAATAAAAAATAAGAATATATATATTTTACAATTTATTTTTTTATTTATTTTACAGAGTTTCATGTAAATGATCGTAAGTCGACTGGCTGTCTAATGAATAGACCGAGATTTATAGATTTTAAAGCAAACGAAAAGAAATCAAACAACGAATACATACCATATATTTTTCTTTTATCTAAGATACATACCTTATCGTATTTTGAAAACACGTACATTTTTGCAGTTTTGTTAGTTTCTTTGCAAGATGCAACACAACAAGAAAACACCATTTTTGAATAAATGCACCAATAATAAAACTATTTCTGACTATGATAAAAGTAATTTTAGATAGTTAGTAAATTTAGATAGATAAAAAATTAAAAAACAAACGAGTATTTGCAAACGCAGGCCCAAATTCAATAAAAATCAAAATTTTTCCTGCGAAAATCAGGCTTTTTTCACTGAAAAGGTATTTTTTGATTTATCAGCAGTCATTGTCAAGTTGACAATATACAGGATGTTTTCGAATTAGTCTAAAAAAATTATGGTGTGATTCCTCATGTGTTCTTAAAACAATTTTTATATAACCATTGGGTCTAAAGTACTTCCTTTCTGATTTACAGGGTGTTAAAAATTAAAAGAAATCGTTTTTTTTTGCTTAACATAAATGGTACACCACTGCTTTTTTAAAGGAAATATATTTTTTTCTTGATTGGCCATCCTCTTTCAACAAAATTGATCTTTTGAGTTTTTCTTGTTCATCAAACGGTTGTCGAGAAAAAAATAAATATACTTCTTAAGAGCCCGCCTTAATTCGTTTTCTAACGATGTTTTATTTTTTAGATTAATTAGGAAACATCCTGTATATGCATATCACAGGCAACCAAATCAACTAGTAACCTCTAAAAATTATTTTTCCTACCACTAGCGACATACCGTGTTTTTAGTGTGTACTAAATTATTTTATCAAAATTTCACCATATAAGTTTCCAGGCAATGATATAAACCTATAATTATGTGACAAAAATTAGCTAGATGAAATCAAATGCTCAATATGCTTCCTGTCCTGTTCACTGCATAAAATGATTGTCTTTTCAAAAGAATCTTTAAATTTTAAAAGGCATATGTGGAGTTCCACCTCGAAAAACTGCTACAATAATTTCTCTCATGTTGTCGACAATAGTTGGTCGAGTTTCGTAAACACTGTCTTTAACATATCCCCATAAATAACAGACTAGATAAAATCAGGAGCATTTAAGTATTCTATTAATTGGTGAATGGCGACCTGCATTCACCAAATAATAGAATCATATATCAATTCTCTCTCATGTAGGATGAGTTTGCATTTTCGGCAAATTTCTGAGAAATTTTTTTATTTTAACTGACACAAAATGATAACTAGTTGTTAAAGTTGGACTAATTAGAGAGGTATGTTGAAATAACGTCAGACACATCACAGCCACCTAGATTTTATCAAATAATAAAGATCTACTCGGATCAAATCATGTAAATGAAAATATCTAGGAAAATCTTTGTTTGAGGGGTAGGCAATCTCAACAGTATTTTGAAGAGACGTGAATTTCACCATTGAATATCGGAATAATAAACTGGGTAAAAGAGTAACATGCTTTTAAAGGTGACCAATGTTCAATATTAATTTTGTCTCACCCTGTATAACTTTTTGAATCAAGTTTTAATTTGATTTAAAGTACAATAGTTAATTTAACTACATATTAGGCTATACCGAGTAAATTCTAATTTAGGTAGCTTTTATTGTAATTTGAAAATTGTTCTTTATTTCTAGAAAATGTTAAATATGCCAAAAATCTTACATTTTAGTCATATACTTCTCTTATAAAACTCACCTTTATTTTTCTCCCAGAATCCTAAAATCAATTAATATACAGGGTGTTCCATTACAAAAAACACAACTTTGATATGTAACTTTTTTTGGGGACACCCTGTAGAACTCTCTATATTTTTAAAAAGTGCTCTGAATTTAAATACATATATGCTCACAAAATTTCATTTCAGTACAAACTGTCGTTCTCCTTGGAGCCTCCCCGACGTATAAGAGGCGCCACCCTGTATTAACCAATTTTATATACATTAAAATATCTAATAAATTAAGCACATTTAATTAAGGACAGGAAAAAACAAATTAACAAACAAATTTTCATTTTTTAATGAACCGGAACTGTATGTTACATCGACTTTAAAGTTCGACATGAAAAACACAATTATTCAAAAAGAAAATTATTCAACGTTTTTAAAATCTTATATTCAAATATTTGAAAAATGTATAAATATAAAATATGCTAATAAGAACACAAAATTGAACAAAATCTGGAAACTCTCACACCTACCTCGAATTAAAAAATGATAAGGAACAGTAGATTGATTATTTCATATGCTACTGAACTCTTTTTACGCAGTAGATACGTATACTTTTAGCTAAAAACTACAAGTTCTTTGCATAAATACATATTTAGTGGAATTATTTAATAATGAATAATTTTTATGAAAAAATATAAAAAAATACGTAAAAAATTGTTATTTTTCTTTATTTCTTACTACGTTAAAATGCCGGTATTATTCAGATTATTCAAACGTAGTTTAAAATTTTTCATTTTTTGACCTGGCAATATTAACGAGAATACACTTTTCAATACTCTATATATTCAAATATTATTCAAAATTATATGTAAAACAGAAAGTTAAACATATTGAACTAAAAATATCATTTTTAAAAAGGGTATCTCACCATGAGCTTCCTGTGCCTTCTGTTTCAAATGACTCAACTTAGATCCCCCGGCTTCTTTCACAATATTTAAAAGCAAATCCTCCATTTCCGATATTTTACTTTACAATAAACAACTAAATATTAGAAAAAACATATTGCAACTGTCTGCTGCGAAAAGCAAAACTGATCGGCGTAAAATAAAGCCTTTTTAACAATGAACTTGGAAGAGCGAAATACACTTATCGGAAAATTTTTCAGAGAGAAGAAAACAGAAAATGATCGGTGAAGTTGGCTGTCGGTGGACTGCGCACTCATGGAAACTTTCCGGAAAATCAATAGATGGAATCAAAGTTATATCAACAAGTGGGTTTACTTAGTTTATGGAGAGTAAATAAGAAAATAATTAAACGACACCTACTTCAATGAGAAAATTATTGAATATATCGTTCTAATGTTAAAATATAGTCATAGCTGTTATTCAGCATTGGTGCTTTGTTTTCATTTACAGGATGTACGTTATCTTGCCAGTGATGTATGTATTAACACAGAAATAACTAATTCTAGGGTTCTGAATGTAAAGCCGAGTACAGACCTGACGAACGTTACCATTCGCACTATTGCCTGCTATTGTTACCTATTCGCACCGGGTGGTATGGACGTGTGGAGATTGTTGTTTATTAGCATATATGTTTGAAAAAAAAAACAGTATTTGATAAATAATTTGGCACCACATAGATATTTGGTAATTCGAGTGAAATTACCTTTATGAACAAAGTTATTGCACTCTAAATTGACTTTGAAATACTATTTTTTCTACGACTAGCCTAGAAAATGCAGTTTGATACACGGAAAAGTTTTCCGGGAAAACTCAATCTGAAATTGGCGTTTTGCAGACTGTTGTGTGCTAAGGATTTAGCGCACGACATGTGTCATTTTGCACACGATATGTGCCAATTTTAACATTTTTACCCTCCAATGTTTAGATGAAAGGCCAAACGCAACGCAGCCGTCAGAAAAGTGTCATCATTACATCGCAAATTATTTCACAAAACTGGCAAAAACTGAGTGAGTCTGCTGCTAATTTGTAGTCGTAGAAAAAATAGCGTAAAAAACTTGTTCGAAAACTTCTTTGTACAGGGTGGACCATTTTGGTTGTTTCTATAGGGTATCTAGGAAACCGTGAGAAATATTAAATTTTGATACTACAGTCTCGGGTTCTTTTCTTGAAAAAATTACAATGGCGCAAACGGATCGTAGCTGTCTTGATCGGTTTCGAAGCTACAGGGGTATTATCAAATTTTGTAGTTTTTGAAGATGTTCGATAGTTTGTTTATTTCAGCAACCACGGAAAAATGAATTATACATTCTAAAGGCACTTTTCTGTGTAGAATGCAGTGGCGTAGTCAGACTTTTTTCGAAAAAAATATTTTTTGAGATATTAACTATACCTACTTATGTTTTTTTTTAAATAGAACCCCCTGTATATTTTTAAATTTTCTTATTGAGCTTGGCATGGGCTTCTCGAAAATATATAACACTCTATATTTAGTTTCACTATTAACCTCAACATTTTAAATTTTTCTTAAAATATCCACTTAATAGATAGTAGGCCGCGCCGAGTAACAAAGTAAATGGTTGTCATGGTGATCGGAACATACCTTTGATGGATGCGGGACATTTCATTTCAACAGATTGAAGTGTGTGTATTTTAAATAATAAAAAAATTAGTAAATTTGAAAATTTTGAGAAATATAATATGTTTGGTATAGAAATGTTATATTGAGTCTAACAAACATAAGCAAATGGCAGCTGATTTATATTTTGAGCGGTATTCAGAGCGCGAGCAACCAAACACAGCCATTTTTAGAAGGTTAGAAGATACTTTAATCAATTTTGGATCTTTTAAAACCGCGTCTAAAAAATTATCGGAAAGAAGATGAATAAAATCAATATATTAATGTCCTCGGAGTCGTAACACTAGATCCAACAACATCAAGTAGAGCTATTGAAATGCTGTTAGCGGTGGCGTGCGGAGACGGTACCAACCATAGACTTAAAATAAAATATAGACTGAGCATCTCATTCATAAATAGCTGGAACATGCGGTCAGACACTGTCTTGTTATTGTTGTGTTATTGTTTTAGGTTATAACGAGTGCGACACGAGCGATAGATAGGTTGTCTCTGTCGTAACGGTCGTTCCCTGACGACTCTGCCGAGAAACACAACACTGTCTTTCGTTTCTCAAGTACACCTGAACTCTCCGTATCATAGCCGGGTATTTTTTTTTATTTTAATGAAGCTATAATTAAATTAAAAATATATCGTATTTAAACTTTTTTATATTTTATTAAGATTTAGGACAGGTTTTTTAAATAAAACTTTAGAAAAACAATTTAGAGTCCAAAAGGATAAAAATAATAAAATACACGTTATAGAAGAAATTTTATAATCGAAATTAGGTAATTTTTGAAATTAATAATAAATTATTAATTTTAGTCAAACATTTACAACCCCTAATATTAATCAAAACAGGATCTATTCCACAGATATAATAGAATCGGCGACAGGGAGAGAAAAAAAATATGATTGTTGTAATTTTTTTTCTGGTTAAGTGATGTCTTATTATGTAAATTAGAGAAAACATAAATCTGTTCCATTAAAGCAAGGAAGGTGATAGGAAGTGGATAAAATAAAAACTACATTTATTTAACTCGGTACTGTCTTTATTATACCGGGTGCGTCTCAAAAGTGGCTCATCCCCATAATTTTTTTATATTTTCAAATAAAAAACAAGATTTAGTATGTTAGTATATGAAATAAATTAGGATTGATTGACGCATTCAATTGTTTTTGGTCACTTCCTGTTTCACCGGAAATGACTATAACTTTTAATTTTTAAACGGCACCCTCGGAATATTTCTACTTTATTCGATAGAAAATGACACTATGAATGGAATGACATATCATATGTCAACTTTTGACATTTTCGCATATGGTTTAATTGTAATTGTAACACGCGGTTCATAACGACAATTTGACTCGAAATACCAAGTGTGTGGTATCAATATATTCATAAAAAATCCTTTTTCCAAATATGCTAATGAGTCACCCTTGTTCCATTTGAAAAAATTGACATATGTATGATTAAAAAATACGATTTGTACATCTTTTAACCGGCCCAGACAAGACACGAAACCTATTAGACGATCAAAACTATTTTTCCAAGGCTCCTTGATTAAAACTTAGTGGATTGAAAAAAACTGGATTGAAATTTAAAATAGGATAAGTTTTTAAGCGACAATGTCAAAAGTTGACATATGATATGTCATTCTATTCAGAGTGTCATTTTTATCGAATAAAGTAGCAATATACCGAGGGTGCCTTTAAAAATCAAAAGATGTAATCATTTCGGTGAAACAGGAAGAGACCAAAAACAATTGAATACGTCTATAAATCCTAATTTATGTCATATACCTACTAACATACAAATCTGTTTTTTTATCTGAAAAAATAAAAAAGTTATAGTGGTGAGCCACTTTTGAGACGAACCCGGTATATTAAAAAATATTGTTTCATAATGTAATATCATTTTAAAATTCTTGTATGTTATTTTAGATTCTGAAGATAATTTTAGAATAAACCGGAATATATTTTTAATAAAAACATTATTAATTATTAACAGGGTTATAATTATGATTTTGTTACAATGTAAGTAAGTAAATAATGTAATGTAAAAGAAAAAATTCAGATTTTACATTTTACTAAAATATTATCTAAATAAGCGCCTTTCTACAACAACGCCACTGACTCCTAATGGGTAAATTGAGAGTTGCCTACCGGTCGAAAGTCGTTTCAAGGCTTAAATGGATTATTTAAGTCAAATTTCTTGCAAATTTTTCGATCATATTTTATAGTTCTTGAACAGAAAAAGTCAATAAAATAAACAGTTAAGAACTACAAGCTAAGAAAATGCATTAATACAGCCGGGGACATAGCGGCAACAAAGCTTTACCGCACACGTGCGACGCGTACTACAAGGTAATAAATGAATGAATAGGCTCCCTCGCCTCTAATCGGTGTTGTCATATTGTAAAGAACTTATCCTTATTAAACAGTATCCGACTTATAATTTAGTAGTATAAGGACTATTTAATACATCTATGGAATATTAAAACCTACTTTATTAAACTGTAGTATTAATATCTCAATATATGTGTATAACAAGAAAAAAAATATTGATAATATTAAAGACGTGACAACATAGGCTGGATGAGGAAGGCTCGGTCGACTGTACCCAGAAGTAAACATGTGTACAAAAAAGATTGTTTGTCCGCGTTGAGATGTAAATAGTGTAGTCTATATTTTATTTTAAGTCTATGGTACCAACTCTGTCTAGATAATAACGGGCAGTAGTCTGAACATTTAATGTAGTCTTTGTGTTTATATTTTTTAGTTATATATTAACTGAGAAGCCCGATTGAAGTAACCTCTTCAGTTTATATTAAAATATGTTTTTTTGTTTCTGTCACACTTATTTTTTATTTGCTTCGTTTTCAATTTTATTTAATTGCTAATTTATGCATTCGGCTCCGAGGACATTATTATATTGATTTTCTTCACGCGGTTTTTGAAAAGATCCAAAATTGATTAAACTATCTTCTAACCTTTTAAAAATGGCTGGGTTTGGTTGCTCGTGCTCTGGATACCGCTCAAATTTTTTTTCAAAAAAAAATTAATTTGCTTATGTTTGTTAGACTCAATATAACATTTCTATACCAAACATATTATATTTCTCAAAATTTACTCATTTTTTATTATTTAAAATACACACACTTCAATCTGTTGAAATGAAATGTCCCGCATCCGTCAAAGGTATGTTCCGATCGCCATAACATAAACTTTGTTACTCGGCGCGGCCTACTATCTGCTAAGTGGATATTTTATGAAAAATTTGAAATGTTGAGGTTAATAGTGAAAATAAATATAGAGTGTTATATATTTTCGAGAAGCCCATGACAAGCTCAACAAGAACATTTAAAAATATACAGCGGGTTCTATTTAAAAAAACATAAGTATAGTTAATATCTCAAAAAATATTTTTTTCGAAAAAGTCTGACTACGCCACTGCATTCTACACAGAAAAGTGCCTTTAGAATGTATAATTCATTTTTCCGTGGTTGGCTGAAATCAACAAACTATCGAACATCTTCAAAAAGTACAAATTTTGATAATCCCCCTGTAGCTTCGAAACCGATCAAGATATTCACGATCCGTTTGCGCCATTGTAATTTTTTCAAAAAAAGAACCCGAGACTGCAGTATCAAAATTTGAATATTTCTCACGGTTTCCTAGATACCCTATAGAAACAACCAAAATGGTCCAACTGTACACCCGTTCGACTTGTGGCTCGAGCCGCAGGCAAGAAACTGTCGAAAACTGTGCAAAACGTCATTTTCGAAACTCGTTGTTTAATATACTATTTTTTAAGCACAAATGTTTGAAGTTGACATATGATATGTCGTTCTATTCAGAATGTCATTTTCTATCCAGGAAAAATCGAGGGTACCTACTACTTAAAAACCAAAAGTTGTAGCAAAGGTTGTAGTCATTTCCGGTAAAACCGGAAGTGACCAAAACTAATTGTTTGCAACAATCAATCTTGATTTATGTCATATATTAACATATCGAATCCTGTTTTTTTGTCTCAAAAAAATAAAAAAGTTCTAGGGGTGTTAATTATTATTTATTTTATTATGTAATTATAATCATTAGAATCTGTGTGCACAGTATCATATAATTGAAATAATGGCGAATGCGCCAGGATAAGCCAATAAAGCTCAGCACAATCGAACACTGGGCATTTAAGTAAAGTTGTATTTTCAGCAAGTTAACAGATGGCTCTGAACTACAACACTTTCACATCCACGTGACGCTTCATATCTATTTGTGTCTGATCTTTCAGTTTTCAACAACACACGAAATAAAAGGTTGCCATGAATTTAAGTTAAAGCAAAATCTCCGGTTTTCACGCAGCAAAACGATTTGTCGCCTTCCTTTTTCGTACCCTTGTGTCGTGTGATAGTGTTGTGAGTGACAGAGTGACTGAATTGGATAAATCTAACCAGAAACCTCCATAAAACCATGTACGTTATGTGATTTCTAGGTACGTCTATGATGGTTTTGTAATTTTTCTAATAAATGTGTTTTTTTACGGTGTGTGATCGTGGTGGCTGGGTATGTCGATTCCGTTTCGGCGTTTGTTATCTAAAATAACGGCAAGACAAGTGAAAATCGCCCACTGTCGCGTATGTGGTATGGCAAACGTCAAAAGTGACGTCAATTTTTGACGCCCCCGCTTACACCGAAAAGAATAAAGGCAAATTTTTCGAATTGATGTGTTTTTTATCTTGCCAATATTTAAAATCGTACATATTTACCGATTGTTCGACTTTATTTTTCTAACAGGCGGCGTTGTTTTATTGGTAGAGCAGTAAACTTGATTTATTTAATGTGTTTTCGTTTTGTTCTTGAAGTTAATGCTCTTTCTTCTACATGTATAGTAGAGAGATAGGTATATCAAGTTCGAATTGCGTATTTTCAAACTAAACGAGATAAGAGGATGTTTTAAAAACATCTACTGATATATTAAGTATACAACTCTACAGTTATGATGCAATTAAAATAAAATTACGATGTATGTATAGTCACAAAGGAATAGTAAAACAATTATGTACCTACATGGATATGGCAGATAATGTTTGGCCGTTCTTTATTTTTCTGATAATTATAAGAAGAGCTGAAACGAGCGAACTTTCCTTACTTTTTTATCATAAGTTTCAGATTACGAAATTAATTTACAAAATTCCATATAGTTTATTTTTCAATAACCTAACAAAGTCATTAATTCTGAAATTTCTGGCATATGTTTATATTTATATTTGGATATTGACATATTTTGTAACCATCGAAAACTTACTCGATCATGAGATTTGTTTAATGTAGGCTTTCTTTATACTAAATATGTGAAATATTAACTATACTATATCTTTTATTATCACAATTTCAGACGAAAAATTCGAAAAATCTCAGATAAACTTCATAATTATAAATAAAGAATTAAATATTTGAAATAACTGTAACTTGAAGGACAATAGGTAAGTTTCAAATATAAATAACGTAGGCGAAATGAAAATGAATTCACTTTAGTTAATTTTATTATGCATCTATCTAATGCGGCTAAAATATTGACCCCGAACCCTCTTAAATACTTAAATTTAGTAGGTAATAGACCAGGTAATAGAGTACGAAAATAAAGAAATATAGTTGATGAAATTTGGAATAGGATCAAGAATATCGAAAAGATTATTCTTATACCTATATCCTCTAATACTCTAGTTCCCACCTAATGTAAGTACTTATTTAAGTATTCATGAGATCAATGTGTACTACCAGTCAACTATGCATGCGAAACCTGGACACTTAAAACGGACATTATAAGGAAACTGCAGGTCGCACAACGCTCGATGGAACGAAATATACTGTGAATAACAAATAATGACCGTGCAAAAATAAAGTGGATACAATAAAAGACCCAGATAATAGATGTCATCCACAAAATCAAATCCTTCGAGTGGCAATGGACAAGATATCTGGCTAGAAGGACCAACAACCATATGGGCCACAACAGTGGTATCCATGGTGTCCACAAGGAATTAAGAGACCAAACCTAAGATAGGGCCATGATATTATGAAGTTAGCAGAGATAACTTGGATCTGCATAGCCAACAATAGACCACAATGAACCCATATACAAACAGCGAGACAAAGACATTATCTAAATATGTGGGGGAGGCTCGAGGGGAGGTATAATATAGATTATAATTCAAAATGGTTGAATATGCTGAGAATGATGATGATGATACGAAAATATCAGTATTTATGACTTCAGAATAAAAAAAAATATGTCTTCAGTATTTATGCCTTCAGAATATACTAAACTACTAGAAAGTAGTTACTCTTACTGTATAGTATTACTTACTTAAACTAGTAATAGACAAAGAACAAATCGTTATGTGGCCATCTTCATAGACGGAGGTCAATTCTAGACTAGTGCGGGACTGAGTTTAGACGAACGTAGCAATATTACCTATTCAGGGGTTAGGGTACCAGGGCACGAGAGTCACAAGGGTAACGAAAAGGCACGCAAGGCTTATCAATGCCCATTCCCCAAGGCCCAGAACCCTTCTGTGGCGTTCCAAAGGCGGTCACGAAAATGGCCACGGAACGATGGGTGGCCAACAAATCTCTAGAATGGTGGACAAACTCACCAGGGCAGAGGCAGACGAAAAAGTTCATTGTAGAACATTTGCCAAAATTCACGGTAGACCTGATAAGCAAGGACGGAAAAACAGTCAAAACTGTAGTGGGTCTACTAACAGGGCATTGTAAGCTATCTAAAGCTATAAGGCATCTAAAGCTGATGGGACTGACAGACGAAGCTATGTGTAGGTTCTGCTAATCTAAAGAAGAAACGACACCTTTTATGTCGGTGCGACAGCCTGGTAAATGTGCGGTTCTCTGTAATCTCCCTGGCAATGATAGGCCATTGCCACGGAGCTACATGGAATCTAAGGATCAGAAGAGGATCACAATAATTCTGAGAAGGTCGCAGTGAATCAGGCCAAGAGCCATTTCTAGGAATCTAATCTAATCTAATCTAGTAAGAGTAATAATTAACAGAACGAAAATTCATAGATAGTCTGAAGTTTTCATGTCTGTCTTTTCCAAACAAAATGTTCTCAATTTATTTGCGGACATCTGGAAAGGCGATCACGAAGAACAAATATTTTCGATACTTGGTTGTTGTTTGGGTGATTCGATGTAATGGTTGTTCTGAAGATGGAGAAAATCGAGTGATGAGCAGTTATCAAATAATGTTTTTGAAAGGTAATACTATTAATAATACTGCTAAGGTGCAAACGAAGCACTCTTGAAGTCTCTCTTGATGTAGATGGAGAGGTCCTCGGCGAGGTCATACAAGATGAAGTTTAAATATTTGATGATAAATCTGTTTAAGATGATTAAGGCATCACGACGTTGAAGCGAAAGTAAAAGAACAATTGTCAAGGGCGTCGAGAGTAGCAAATTGTTTGAACCACTCCATTTGTAACATCAAAAACATGAATACCCAAGTTTACCAATTGAGGAAACTCAAATAACATCGATACGAAAATGAAAATACTTAGAAGAATTGATGGCAGAACCTTATGACACAGAGAAGAGCGAAGACCTAAGACCAACGGGACTTATTGTCAACGGGAGCTTCGGTGGGAGAAATGTGGATTCGCAAGAAGATAATGTAGGATGTTTTTTATGATAGATTAGAAAATTATCCGATTACATGTGAGCTAAAGACGAGCAGGACTTATAACCAAGCAATCTCTGATGAAAAAGTTAATAAAAATTTCCATGACAATGTTTATATTTTATCGTACAATGTATACGCTTAAGCATTAAAATTTTTGATCGTATCATCGTATCAGCTTCTTTGGTTCCACAGAATTATAATTTTCTGTAACTAAAGATTCTGAAACAATTACTTACAATAAATTTATTATGTATTATGATGACTCCATTTGCACAAAAGATTAACTGATATTTTATCTTATTAATAAACCGAGTAATAAACTATCATATCATTATAGATAGAAGTCATAAAATTTTCATGCATATAATCTGTATATGAGTTTTATCAGAGAACTAAATACCACCAGAAAATTAAACAATGGTTATGAAGAATAGAAAAACTGCTGTGGTTGATGATTCGATTGAATTTGAATTCTGATAAAACATTTTGGTAGCGGGACAAAAATTGGCTACACAAGTTATTCAACGCTTGCCGTAAAAAAAACAAATGCCAAAACTTTGGAGAGGATAAAAAAGTAGTGACTCTTCTCAAAATAAGAAAAAATCGGGAGTCTCCCAAATAGCTGCCATTTACTAGGCGATAAACGAGCAATCCGATCGAGCGATCTAGTCGCTTTCGATCAAATTGTCGAAAGATCTCCAGATTAGTGCGTCATTTCAATCAGATTGAAAGCGATATTGTGATTGCCAAGCAATCTTTTGATTTACAGTGCGGAAGGTGAATCGGGTTGCAATTGCTAGCAATTTAAAAAGGTTGTACGATGATCGCCCAATCAGTGGACGTCGGCAACCAGGTTGCTCAACTATATTTATTATTTAGTACGTGACCAGGAGAGTGTCGGAAATTCTCGATTTGGGTAATTTGAATTTCACAGCCAAATTGCTTGAATGTCGCCTTATAAATGGTCCGTTCGAAGAAGGTTCCAAGCAACCAAAAAATTTAGAAGCAATTTTATCGCTCAACTTGGTTGCTACAAAATCGCCCAGTGAATATGACCTATATCCTTACTGTACTACTGTCTCATCTTTTTACGTTGTATGGCAGGTTAATCTATCATAAAATCAAAAACATTGTGGATTCCGAACAAGTTACACGCCAAGCTAGTTTTACACCTAAGAAATCTTTAATTCGCACAGGGCAGTGTACTGGCCTTTCAACTTTCACGCAAGCAATCAACCTTTACACACGAAAATTCTAAAACGTTTGTTTATGCTGATGACTTAGCGGTAACAATGAAAGGTAAATGCTTCCATGCTGACATCAAGGAAAAGCCAAAATCCGCATAATGTCGGATTATTTTAATAAGCCTAGCGTTTGAAACCCAAAACTTAGGTCTTTGCATTCCCTCTTAAATCTCGCATTCCCTCTTAATCGAAAACTTAAACATGGGACCGATCATAGGACGGTATACATCTAGGGTAAACAGTATACTGTACATCTTATAGCGTCATCCTAGACAGAACACTGACCGACAAGTACTAATACTAAATCACACGAAATCAAAGCACTATTAAGAAACCTAACAGCCCGTAAATGGTGTTCAAAACCATGCGTAATACCAGACTTTGGTAATACGAACCAATGTTCGAGCTTTGTGTATCTTTTGAAACAGCTGAATCTGGTCTCTCGCATATGATCCATATCTAATCATGTTAAGTAATCAGAATCTGTATCACTGAGACTTGTAGGATAGAATGGTAGAATATAAAATGAGTGTGAGGGGGGTTGATCACCTC